AAGTATCGGCAGTTGCAACAGCATCGAAAATTACTTCTTTTATCAAGAAAAAAGAGACGATTCTCTAGAAGCTGTACTTTCAAAAATGATTGCACAAGATGGCATACCTTTCAATAAATTTTGTACATATGAAGATTTAAAGATGTTACTAAAAACAAAAAGGCACATAGAGTTACCAAAATCGCCCAAAACCATTCACAAAAAAGTAATGGGTTATGCCGATAAAATAAGAAAAGAAATTGTAAAGAAAATTTTACAGAATAAGCTCAATAAAAAAGCTTATAGATGAATGGACAATACAAACCGCCGGAATATAAATAATATTATTCATGGAAATGGCGGTAATTTTTGGAAATCTTGGATTGACTCGGATTCATGGATCCGCACCTGCTGAGGTATGCACAGAACTAATTGAAAAGAAGCTTAAAGAGTTTAATATAGCTTTGTCAAATATAGTGTGCATAACATCAGACGGAGGTGCCGTTAACAAGAGAATGATAATGTTACTTAATTAAAACCATCAGTTATGTAGCGTATATGGAATACAATTGGCAATTATAAAAGTACTTTACAATATTAGCTCAACAGATGTACAAGATATTAATGAACATGATGGTAATGTATTACTTAATGTTGATTCTGATTATTCGGAGATTGAACTTGAAAATTTTGAAGTAGACCACGAAGATATCGAAGATAAAGCAGCCGTGGCGCAGTGGTAGCACACTTGCCTCAGAAACGTAAGATCCGTTGTTCAAACCCCACCTCTGGGCAAGTTTTGCGACATCGGTTGGGAAAGAGGCGTGAACTTCCTATTAAATGCTCTTTCGCGGTGCTCTGTAATAAGACCGTAAGGACTTCTTGGAGCACCTAAAATCAACATAAAAAAAAAAATATCGACACTACTTAACTTGTTCTACAAAACGCAGAGCTAAATTCTTTAGTTGCAAAAATTCGGAAAGTTGTAAAACCTTTCAGAAAATCATCAACCAAAAATAGGTTAAAGGAACTGTCGGAAAAGAACTTTCTTTAATTTTAGACTGTAAAACTAGAGGGAGTATCAAATATAATGGAGTACCAAATAAGTAAGGTGACGCAAAGTTAGACTTTGAAAGTTTAAGTTAACTAAGTTTAAGTTAACTAAGTTTCAACTTATTTTTCAAACCTGCTTAACTTACCAAATAAGTGACGCAAAGTTAGACTTTGAAAGTAACGGGAAAATAATCAAAGTCCAATAAATAAGTATAATAATAATAATTAAGTGATGCTAGATAAAAATTATTTAAGCTAAAGGAAGGTAGCACGTTCTTTTTTTTATCTTAAAACAAAGATGTGCCTTTGTATTTCACTCGATTATCCAATAATAACTTGCTGCGATTTGAGTTATCATTCGGATCCCTGCTTTTTATCAATTAGATTTTTTTATCAAGAAAAGCATATTTTTCAAGATATTTAAATTAACTAACTTGCTCAACTTAAATTTGTTTAAAAGATAACTGGACTGAAAAAAATTTAAAAAAAAAAATTTAAATCAAAATTAAAATAAATTTCAATTTTCGTATAACTCACTAAACTTTAGGCACAACTAAGCCAAAAGGTCTTATAATTCACTAAACTTTAGGCACAGATAAGCCAAAAGGTCTTAACACTTTGCTTACAAGTAAATTTTCATTCAATTTGAGTTTTAATAAATCTTATCAAATCGTTTGTTTACAAAACAATCGTTTGTTACAAAATCGTTTGTTACAAAACAATCGCTTGTTTACAAAAAAATAAAAATAATAAAACGATCAAAATACTGCTCAGCATAACTTGATATCGCTTTTAATGTAAATGTTTGAATAATTTGTAATGAACTTTTAATTTTTTTAATATTTAATTATAGTTAAAAAATAAATTTTATGGTATATATTACCCCCCCCCCCCCAGTTTCTTATATTTATAAGAAACTGGGGGGGGGGGGGGTTGAATTTAAGAACTTTCTAATTAAAACCAAGTTTTAATTACCGTAGTTTTTATGAATGTAAGACAAGGATGTTTTTTACCGTAGTAAAAAACATCCTTGTCTTACATTCATATATAAAAATATTGATTTACTTTATTTTAAAAGCTACCTCAAACACTTAAAAAAAAAAAAATTGTGTTGATATCTCAGTATAATTTCTTATTTCTAAGTTAAAATTATCATAAAATAAAAATTTTGTCGGTATATTCACTTGGGTATATTCTGTAGTGCTCCTCTTTAGACTTTTTTTATTTAGTTTTGTATTGTTTGTGGAAAAACTTTATTTGAATTGTGTCACACCAATGTTTTATTTTCCTTACTATTTTTTTTTTTACATATTTTTTGTCCACAGTTAAACTTTAATTTGTTTTAATTTTTTGCTCATTTTAATTCCCTGAATATATTTTTTGAAGCCCTGTGCATTTTGTATTTTGATGCTTTACTTTAATTTAAAGGCAGAAGGTTCACTCGCTGTAATAATGTTCGTATATGGTAAACCTCTGTAATATAATATGACATAATATAATATAACATAACATAATATAATATAACATAACATAAAGCTGTAATATAATATAACATAAAGGTTTACTGGCAGTAATAATGTTCGTATATGGTAAACTTCATGGGCGAATGGAGAACAAATATTGACAAATTTCAGAAGATTGCAATGATGTTTGGGAATTTCAGAATTGAACAAATTTAAACTTTTTTATGTACTAATGTACTCTTAAAAGCTATGCATCCCAGAAAAAAACGTCTAATGAATAAAAGGTTAGGAGTTAGAATAGTAACGCAAAGCGCAACAGAAGTTATTGAACGGCGGTCAAGAGAGATGCACAGGCACCTTTTCTAATTTGAGCCGAAAAAATTAAAAAATAATAATTATAAAATTTTCATATTTTTTTTTTTTTTTTTTCTAATTATAATTATTCTTTTTTTAATCTAGTCTAATCTTGGTAAGTTGAGCAAGTTTGAAAAAAAGCAAACAATCAAAAAAAGCGTTATTAAACATGAAGAAATAACTTTATTAAGTAGATAAACATTTATGTTCTTTTTTAGGGCTTTATACTTCATAAATAGGGATTGAAAATAATTGCATAAAATATTTATAAAATATTTATAAGCTATGACAATTTATTACCATTCTGCTTTTACTTTTAAAAATTACTTTGTATAAATCTTCTTAACGTATTAGAGTATGTAAATTTAAAAACTTATTAATTATAAACACATTTACCTTTAACAGTAGTTTTGTTAAGATTTATCCGAATTCCATAACATGCATTTTGTATTAGTTCGTCTTTGCTCAACTTAACCCATATAGCTGTTTAACTTGTTATGTTGGGCAATATCTTTACATACAAATTAATTTATTTCTAAAACAAAAATTGTACTTTTTAGATTTTATTTTTAAATAACTTATCCATTAGTAAAAAAAAATTGTAAATACAACGCATTTAAGATATCTGTTAGATTTAGTAAATCTAAAAATTTGCTCAATCAACCCCGCCCCCCTATTTACTTTTCTTATTTGCATAGTCAGTTATTATGTTGTCACCAGTCTAAAAACTGAACACTAAAAACTGTTTGAAAATTTATTTAATTGAGTTCTTAAACAAAAAATATTATGTTATCCAATCAATGGAAATATCAATTTAGATAACGAACTCTTTTTCAAACAAATATTGCGCTGACGTTACAATCAACTTTATTCAAATAACTTAAAAGATATATACTCATTATAAAAATATACCTTATTTAATACTATTTAATTTAATGTTATTGGGAAAATATCGTGTCAAACACGGAATTACCCAATAACATTAAATTAACAATTCAGTCAAATCTACCCACCAACTGTTCCGAAAGGGGTAATTAAAATGATGGTATCTTTGAGTCCACATTTTAACACACATTATTAACAACATTATTTAGAATGCCCTAAATACACCTTAAGAAAAATTTATAATCAATATGTGTATCAAAGTTATGTAGTTTTTTGTCCGCTTTCTAAAGTAACTATTTTGGACTTGGCCAATTAGCATATTAAGGTATCGATTTACTGATTGATATTATTGATTTAACCATTTTGCATTTTTTCATGAAAATAAATGATTAAATTATTTATTATATAAATAATTTGTGATTATTTTAAATTATTTAATTCTCCTGGCCTTTCTAGTCATAATTCCCGTCACGCCCATAAAGGAAATGCGATAAGTGAACTGCAATAAATTGCGGTATCTACAATAAATGAATTGTTATTTTATTGGTTCAGTTGGATATGCAATGGCGTTACTTTACTATAAGCGGTACATTTAAATTATCCATTTAAATAAAGTAGAGAAAATAAAATGAAAATTAAAGTAAACCAACTGTTTAATCGACTAAAATCTTTTCTAGAAAAAAATTGTAATTTATTAATAGAAAAATCAAAACGCGACAGTGTTTTCACATAATTCGTTTAAATGAAATTCATTTTACTTCTTAAATACAAAGTAAAAAAATACACAAAGTGTAGTGGATTAATAATTCTATTTTTATAGGGATTATTAGTAAGTGGATATAAATAGACAAAGAAGTTAAGGCTTGCTAGATGTTGTAAATATATTATGTTAAAACAGTTGTTAAAACAAAATAGTTAATAATTATTTAAATTATTTTAATTTTTTAATTATATTTCAATATATATATATATATATATATATATATATATATATATATATATATATATATATATATATATATATATATATATATATATATATATATATATATATATATATATATATATATATATATATATATATATAATATACATGCATACATAAATACATACATGCATACATACATACATACTTACAAGCATACATATATACATAATAGGTCTTTTCAGTAATAATTTTTTTATAAAGTGGCAAGAAACATTAAAAAAAAAAAAAACAAATGAAAAAATAATTAAAAAGACATTCACATTTAAGTAATTATTATTTATGATTTAGAATAATAAAAATATAATTCAAAATGGGTGATTCAAGTATTGATATTGGTGAGATAGATATCATAGATCAACCTGAAAAAAAAAATGATGTTGAAAATGCTAATAATGGCTTTGTTATTAACAAAGAAGCAGACAATTTCTCTTTAAATAAAAACGAGTGTGGAGAAGGACTTGCATGTAAACTTTCGCATGCTGAAGAGTTCTGGACTTGCAAACGAAATGGTGCTGTTAAAATCCGTATGTCTGGTGAAAACGATTCCATTGCCAATATGGAACCTATATCTATTATGGAATTTTTCAAAAAAACTGTAGATCGGTTTCCAAATCGTCCTGCTTTAAAAGCAGAAAGAGATGGTAAATGGATTACCTGGACATATAAAGAATACTTTGAAGAAATACGAACAACAGCTAAAGCATTTATACAGGTGAGTCTAAGAAATCTTTCAAGTTTTGTTATGTTTAAATATCTTGAGTACAGAGTTAAATAATAATAGAATATATCATTTTAAAATTTTGTTATGTTTAAATATTTTGAGTACAGAGTTAAATAATAATAGAATATATCATTTTGAATTTTCAAGAAAATTTTAATAAACGGTTTTATTGAGATTTAAATAGATAAAAAATTTCTAAAAAAAATCTTTTTTTATCAGCTGAATTTAAATAGGCAGTAAGTTTGAAAAAATTAAATTAAGCAAGCAAAATGTGGGAGAGGCCAGGAATACTCTTATTCCTTTTGAAAATGTCGATACTGAAAATTCACTAAGAATTTATTTCAACAATAAACTTAAGTGGTCTGATCAAATAAATAATGCAGCATTAAAAGCTAACCAGATGCTTGGTATTTTTAAAAGAACTTTTATTAACTAGAATCCTATTATCTTTTTAAAATTATATACTACCTATGTTCATCTGCTGCTTGAGTTTTGAGCTCCAGTATAGAACCCCTATTTAAAGAAAGATATTGAGAGTCTCAAAAAAATTCAATGCAGAACAACTAAACTTGTTCCTCAATTAAGAAACATGAATTACGAATCTTGATTGGCGAATTTGAGATTAACAACAGTTTCAGAAAGACGAATGAGAGGCGATTTGATTCAGTATTTCAAAATTTACAAGAATTTTAATGAAGTCAAGTTCCTAAATCCAAATATAACACCCACTTATTTTTCAAATTGTCCTGCAGGAAACTTACGAAACAAAATCCACAACCATGTCATTGTCAGAGATATTTCAAATAATTTGCATAGATATAACTTCTTACCTAATAGAATTGCATCCCAAGTTACTGCCTTGCCTTCTTCTGTTGTTTTCTCTGGATATCTAACGATGCCCTGCTATAATAGACTTTATTCTAGTGGAGCGACAAAAACTATTGTATTTGTTTTTATATTTTTTGACAGAATTCTGTCAAAAAATATAAAAACAAATACAATAGTTTTTGTCGCTCCACTAGAATAAAGTCTATTACAGCAGGGCATCGTTAGATGTCCAGATCATAGAAGCAAATTACTTCTATTGTAGATTATTTATAATAATAATAAAATCCTAATATAAATCCTGGGATTTCCTATAAAATTGAACAAAACAAAGTGTTATTAAAATATGTATAAAAACAACAACAATTTATGCGTCCCAATAAAACAAATTAAAAATAGTATAAAGTTGCAGAAAATAATTGTATTTTCAGTTGTATAATAAAAAAGTTAACGAAAAGGTTTGATTTAAAAAAAAAAATAAAGTAAAAATCTTTGCAATATTATGTTGGTTAGTTATTCTGTACTGCAATTCTGCAAAATAAACTTATTTAAACTGAAAAAAAAAGCGTTTTTATTATAAGTTAGACTCTATTAAGAAATTGATGAGCATGATATATGTGATTTTACAATTAAAAGTAACTCAGCTGTTTGGAAATATTTTCTACAGGGTGAGAAAAGCCAGACAGCAATGTTTAAATTGCCACACTGCAGAGAAGATTTTTAAAATTGAAGGTGGTTCAACAAAAGGACTTCATTACAGATATTGTTGGTGCATAGGGATAACAATCCTGGGATCTCGAAATCCCGTGATTTCTTTCAAATTGTTGATCGCGAAATCCTGAGATTAGTCTCCGAAATTTCCCGTGATATTGGAATCGTCAAAAAAAATAAAATTTAATAAAGTTTAAGCTTATAATTGCAATTAAGTAATTTGTACATCGTCTTTGGTATAGCAGCTGTTTGGTTGTGTAACTATTTATTCTATTTGCAATGTTTTCCTTTTAAAACTCTCTGTTTTATTAAAAATAAAAACTCAAAACGTTTTAGCTTGTCTGCAAAATATGTACAATCAAAGATATAAAATATGATATATTGTTTTACTATATATATACAGGCCTTGCAATAAAGCGTCGGGCGATGTGAATTTTACGTCGTCCAAGAGCGATTTTGCGTGTAGCTAGGGCTTTTTGTGTCGAGCAAAAAAATTTTTGTTTGAGTATATTTAAAAATATTTTTGAGCAGAATTTTAATGAAGTAATTTACGTTTATTTTAACATTTAATAAAGTATTTTAAAAGCCGCACACAGTTGATATAAAAGTTTGAATTAAAAAAAAATTAAATATGCTCATTATTTACAAGTAGAAAAAATTCAGATTAAAAAAAAAGTTTAAATCTTTTAAGCTAACATTTTAATAAAATTATTCAGCAATAGCAAAGTTGTCGATAAAATTGAACAATAATACTTTCTTTTAGTTTTAGATTTTAAACTTAAATAATTATTTTACGGGGGTTTGTTAGGTTTTCAAATTATTCCATAGATTGAAAAATATTTATTAACTGTTAGACGTATTTAAAGTATTTAAAAGTAATTTCGAGGAAACATTTTAAAAATTGATGAGCGCAAATAAAAAAAAAAAAAAAAGGATTAATATTAAAACGTATTCTACTTGATTCAATAAAAAAGTACAGTTATTAAAATTTTTGTAAAAAGTAACTCAAAAAAATTATTTAAATAATAACGATGGCTTTTATGTTAAAAGTTACCGAAACTCAACGAAGCGTGCTCAAGAACAGCTGCTGAAAAATAGAACGTCAATAGTTTTTCGAATAATTTTTAAAAATAAATTTTTCGCTGAAATATTTCTTTTATACCTATAAGATTTTTATTCTAACATTTTATTTTATTTTACTACACCTTTTCAAGATGTAAATGAGAATATGAAAGTTGTAATTAAGAAGTCATAATATGTAATTAAGAAACACAACATGTAATTGAGAAAACGTTATATGTAATTGAGAAACACAACATGTAAATAAGAAGTCGTAACATGTAATTAAGAAACACAACATGTAATTGAGAAAACGTAAGATATAATTGAGAAATCATAATATGTAATTGAGAAATCGTAACTTGTAATTGAGAACACATAAATTAAAATAGCAAATTCACAGTCTAAGTTTGTAGGTTGTTACAAAAAGTCTTTTTGGACATGAATTTAAGTTATAATCTTAAATTTTGCTTTTGTATGCACAAGTAATAATAATGGAATTGAAAGATCGTTGTGTTATATGCCAATACACTATGACCCGAAAGTCTGTGATTAAGCTAAATCCGTGTCAACATTTATGTCACCAAATTTGTTTATGTCCAGTTCTGGAACAACCAGATTCAAGTTGTCCGATTTGTCGGCATGAAATACACACAACTGAACAAGTTGAAAGGAAACGTTACGTTTTATCTTCTCCAAATGACAGGAGAAGAGTTGTTGAATGTGCGGAGCGATTTGAAGATTGGGTGAATCTCGCGCAAACGCTAGGTATCAAATATAAGACAGCATACAATTGGGTTCGCAGCGGAAATTTAAATTTCATCGGAAAAAAAGGTTTTAAACCGAAAAAGTTGACCGAAGATCAAATCGAAGAAACATTAACATGGATTGAAAATGATTGTCAATTAACATTGGTGGCCATCAAAACAAAGATATTAAGACAATTTAACATAAACGTTAGCACAACAACAATAGCAAATTACCTCGAAGGCAGATTGTTCTTGATTAAAAAAAGTGCACAAGGAGCCTTCTACAATGAACAGTTATGAAAACAAACAAAAAAGAGCTGAATATGTTAGAAACATCAACGAACATATCACAAATGGTCGTCAGATAGTTTGGTTGGATGAAACAAATTTTAACCTTTTTTGTAGAAAAACACAAGGACGCGCGAGACAAGGAAAAAGAGCAATTATGAAAGTACCTGCTTCAAAAGGTTTAAACATACACTTGATCGCAGCTATTTCAACTACAAATGTCGTCATGATAGAAACTCGCAGGGGATCATTTAAAGCAGATTCCTGTAATGAGTGGATGTTGGCTATGTTTCACCAGTGGGTTACATCCGGGAATCGTTTGGAGGATTTGGTCGTCGTAACAGATAATGCTCCTTGTCACGCTCATTTGCAAAGGGTGTTTGATAATTCACCAGCTCAGTTGTTACGTTTGGGACCTTACAGTCTAATGTTGAACCTGGTGGAAACGATCTGGTCCAAAATTAAAAGTAACGTTAAAAATGCAATTCGCATTCCACCTGTATTAGGTGACGGGATTGCGGAACAGCGCATGCAGTACTTAAAATGAATTGTAATTGAGGCGAAAAATACTATAATGGGAGGAGATTGTGCACGTGCGGTACAACACACAACCACGCACTATGCAACTATTTTAAATATGGAAGACGTACAAGTTGGTGCTTAAATGATCAATGAAGTGATTTTTAATTATATAATTTTTAATTATAATTTTTAATTGAATTATAAATTTTTCCCTAAAATGTTTTTAGTGTTTATTATGTTAAATTCATTTGCCCAAAAATTATAAATTTTTCCCTAAAAAATTAAATTTACGCTACAAATCTTGCGTCATTTTTAAGTGCGTCATTTTATACGCTCCATTTTTTTACGCGCCATTTTTTTTAAGCGCCATTTTACACTTACTCCTTTAAAGCGATATCTAAATTAAAATTTTCGTGTTCTCAATTACATCTTTCTATTTCTTAATTACAACTTACATTTTCTCAATTACATGTTACGATTCTTAATTACAATTTTCGTTTTCTAAATTACATCTTATGTTTCTTAATTACAACTTACGTTTTCTCAATTACATCTTACGTTTCTTAATTACAGCTTTTGTTTTCTCAATTACATCTTACGATTCTTAATTACAATTTTTGTTTTCTCAATTACATCTTGAAAAGGTGTAGAAATAAAATTCCTTGTTAACATTAAAAATCTATTCAAAACGTTCGTTTAAGTTTTTTATTAATATGAGTGATTGTGCTTATCAACCGCTTTATGAAAATAAATAAAAATAAATAAATAAATGAATATTATATAAAATCGCTTGTAAAAATATTAGCTATTGCGCAGTTTTTAATCGTACAATAATAA